TCCCACATATGAGGGCCAGCGACACTGCCCTCTACAGCTAAGATGCTGAAAAACAGCTCAACCTGGAGCTGGGTTGCCGTGAGTCGCCAGCGACGTGTAGCCAGCAGCCAGCATGAGCAGCTGTCCAGAAGCCGGCGACTGATCTGCCTCGCCCGGGAAGAGCGCAATGATGGTGCCAACTTGGGCCAGTGAAGCAGCGTCCTTCACTACTAGACTGAAGAACAAAAAGACAGCAACTTGTCTGTTCCCCTTCCCCCAATTCCCCAATAAAAAGTCTTTAAAAAAAAAGAAAGAAAAATGCATCCTAAAAGTCAGTATGTCATCCCAAGGTACACCATAGCCAAAACCATCTTACAAAAGAGAAAAAATTTTCAAGACGTATTCCTGATTTCAAAACTTACTACAATGCTACAGTAACCAAAACACTGTGATACTAGCATAAAGACATTCAAACCACTGGAATAAAATAGCCCAGAAATAAACCCTTACATATATGGTCAGATGATTTTTGACAAGAGAGCCACAACCATTCATTAGGGAAAGGACAGTCTTTTCAACAAATTTTGCTGGGAAAACTGGATATCCATGCACAGAAGAATCAAGTTGGACCCTTGACTAACATTGCATACAAAATTAACTCAAAATATATCAAACGCCTAAATTTAAGAGATGAAGTATGAAATTCTTAGAAGAAAACATAGAGGAAAGCTCAAAACATTGGATTTGGCAATGATTTTTGGGTGTAACACTGAAGGCATAGACAACAAAAGAAGAAATAGACAAATTGTACTTCATGTAAATTGAAAACTGCTGTGCACCAAAGGATATTATCAACAGTGAAAAGGCAAGCTATAGAATGGGGAAAATATTGGCAAATCATATATCTAATAAGGGATTGATTGATATTCCTTACATAGAGAACTATATATAGAGAACTCAAAACTCAACAATAGAAAAAAACAACCGACTCAAAAATGGGCAAAGGACTTAAATAGATATTTCTCCAAAGAAGGTATATGGATGGCTCATAAACACATGAAAAGATGCTAAATGTCACAAGTCATTATTAGGTAGATGCAAATTAAAACCACAATGAGAGATCACCTCACACCCATTAAGATGGCCGAGTGGCTCAGTTGGTTAAGAGCTCGCTCAAGAGTTTGAACTCTGAGTAACAGCGGTTTGAGTCCCGGCCTGAGCTGAGCAGCCGCTGAGCTGCCACCAGGTGGCAGGATGGCTCAGCTAAAAAAAAAAAAGAATGAGTGTTGGTGAGGATGTGGAGAAATTGGAACCCTTGTATACTGTTGATGGGAATGTAAAATGTTATAGCTGCTATGGGAAATAGTATGGTGGTTTGTCAGAAAATTAAAAATAGAATTACCATATGATTCTGCAATTTCATTTCTGGGTATCTACCCAAAAGAATTGAAAGTGGAGTCTTGGAGAGATATCTGTACGCCCATATTCATAGCAGCTTATTTACAATAGCTAAAACTTGGAAATAACCCAAGTGTCCATTGATGTATGAATGGCTGAAGAAAATGTAGTATATATAGAGGGTACAAAAAAATTTATACACAATTTAAGAAAGGAAAAAACTTGTAGTACTCACTACAAGTATATACTGATAACAAAAGATGAATACAAGTCATGTGTATATGTTTTTTTAGACACCCCTGGTATATACACAATGAAATATTATTCAACCTTTAAAAAGGAAATTCTGACTCGTATGCTACAGTGTGAATGAACCTTGACATTTTGTTAAGTAAGCCAGTCACAAAAAGACAAATACTGCATGATTCCACTTATATGAGGTATCTAGAGTAGCCAACAATCATAGAGAAAGAAAGAATGATGGTTTCCAGAGGGTTTGGATAGGGAGAATGGGAAGTTACGTAATGTGTTTAAAGTTTTAGTTTTGCAAGGTGAAAAGGGTCCTGGAGATGGATGGTGGTGAGGGGTGTACAACAATATGAATGGGCTTTATATTACTGAACTGTACACTTAAAAATGGTTAAGATGGTAAATTTTGTTATTTGTATTTTACCAAAAAAAAATAATTAAAAAACATGACTGTTATTAAGGCATATTAAAGATTCAATTGAACACCAGTTTTAGTTCTTACTAGTTAGTAGGCACTGTGGTATGTCCTGGGGATAAAGATGATTAAGACACAGTCGTAGCCCCCAAGAAGCTCACAGTCAAATAAAAATGACAAATTTGGAAACAAATAATTATACTACAGTGTGGTGAGATAATAGACGGAGAGATAAATTAATTTTGTGAGATTGAGGGGAAGTTTCATATGAGAGGGGTTGCTTGAACTGAGTTGTTTTTTTTTAAGATTTTATTGGGGAATTGAGGGAGGGGAACAGCGTTGGGGAATCAGGGAAGGGGAACAGACAAGTTGCTGTCCTTTTGTTCTTCAGTCTAATTGTGGAGAACGTCGCTTCACTGGCCCATGTTGATATTGTGATCATTGCGCTCTTCCCAGCTATTGCAGTCGGTCACTGGCCATTGGGCTCACAGCAGCTCACGCTGGCTGCTGGCCACTCACAGTAGCTTACGGCCGCCCACTGCAGCCCCACTGCAGCTACGCCGATGCCAGCGACTCACAGTAGCCTAGCTCCAGTTTGATCTGTTGTTCATCATCTTAGCTGTAGAAGGCGCTGTGTCACTGGCCCATGTGGGATTCAAACCAGCAGCCCTGCTGCTCAGAGCTCGCGCTCCCAAGCCAACTCTTAACCAATGAGCCACTCTGCCGGCCCTTGAACTGAGTTTTAAAGGATGTCTAGTCTCAAGCCAATGAGGTGCTAAGTAAGCACTGAAGTCTGGGGAACAGCACACGAATACATGAGGTCAAATAAGATGATGCGTTAGAGTGAGTGGAGACAGGGTGAGCTATGGCAGTAGTTCAGGTGAGTGAGAATGAAGGCCTGAAGGCTTGAATTTATTAGTGATAGAATTGGAGAAGAGAGAAAAGATAATGAGCATAAATTGAGTAAAAGCTATAGAATTTGGTGCTTGCATATCGGGGCTTCGGGCAGGGAAATAGATGAGCATGACCTACAGATGCTGATTTTGTTGACCTTGTGGTCTGTGGTTGCATCAGCTAAGATAGCTGAGACTGAAACAAGAACAGGTTTTGGAGAATTGAGAGGAAAGTGAGGGAGTCAAGAGGGTAGAAAATCAGTTGTAGATTCAATTAGGTAACGTTTTGGACATCAGCTATAATTTGTCCCTCAAGATCTCATTTGGTGCCAGTATCAGAGACAGAGTAGTAAGTTATATGTTTTAGGTTTATTTGAAATACTTACGATAAATTCCAAAGAAAGCAACACAATCTGTAAGTTAAGGTCTTTGTGTAACTGAGGTTTTCTAATTTAGAAGAAAAACCTGGAAATAAAATTAATTGTTGTTTTCCAGTACGTGTATGTGTTTTCCAAAATCTTTAAATTTTTATTTGTATTTCCTTTTGATATATTAGGGTTTTTAATTTTTTAGGTTTTTTTTTAAATTTTTATTTAAATAAGTTGTTGATGGGACCTGCATAAGTGTTTCAGTAGCAGTTTTCTAATAGCTATAAATACATGGTACACTTCATAAATAGTTCCTGGTTTGTTTGTTTTTAAAGGTTTTATTGGGGAATTGTGGGAGGGGAACAGTGTTGGGGAATCGGGGAAGGGGAACAGACAAGCTGCTGTCCCTTTTGTTCTTCAGTCTAGTTGTGGAGGACGTCGCTTCACTGGCCCATGTTGGTATTATCATTGCACTGTTCCCGGGTGAGGCAGATCGGTTGCCGGACACTGGACAGCTGCTCATGGCAACTCACGGCAGCCCACCCAGCTCCAGGTCGAGCTGTTGTTCACCACCTTAGCTGTGGAGGGCGCAGTGTCACTGGCCCTCATGTGGGATTCGAACCACGTCCCTGCTGCTCAGAGCTGGCACTCCCAAGCCAACTCTTAACCAACGCGCCACACGGCTGGTCCTAAAAATTTTTAAATGGAAAAAAAGTTTATACTGGTGTAGTTGTATTATATAGGTCAGCATTTTCCTAATGTTGGCTCACCATCATGTCTGATAAGTTAGGAGTAATGAAGACTTGAACTACTTCTGAAATAACTATTGGTCCAGTATATGTCTGACATAATATATTGATCCAGGTGTATCATATATCTTTGTTGTTAACCGCTATTCAAGTGAATTCTGTTATTTTGTTGGCTTAAATCTATGTTTTCTCACATTAACCTGGTTCTTGATGAAATATTACAGCTTCAAGTTTTATTTTCCTTTCTGAAATATTCACTAATTAGATTTAAATGCTGATGTTTAGGACAAAGATGGAGATAGAGCTGTTCACCATGCAGCTTTTGGAGATGAAGGTGCTGTTATAGAAGTACTACATCGAGGCAGCGCTGATTTGAATGCTCGTAACAAACGCCGACAGACACCACTTCATATTGCTGTTAATAAAGGTCATCTTCAAGTTGTGAAGACTTTATTGGACTTTGGCTGTCATCCCAGCCTTCAGGTAAAAACCTTTAAAGAAATATATTCTGTGAGTATTGCTAGGAACCTATTAAAAGGAAGTGCTAGGTTCTATGGTAAGCATTGCTTATTACAGTGTTTATTCATAGTAGATGATACCAGGGTATAGAATGTAATGAAATTGGAAGCTGTTCTTTCTTAAGAAAAGCCTTTTTAAGGAAGTGTCAGTAGATCAGTTTTATATTGAAAAGTGGGGATGGGGATTTCCTTGCAAAATATCATTTTAGGAATTCATTTGATGTAACTTTATTGAACATGATAATGGGCCTCAGCTTCATAATAGTTACTTCATAGCTATCGAAATTATTTTAGTTGTAGATTAATTTATTTTAAGAGTCTTGGTTTAGCCATGAGTCTAGTCTTAGAGAAGATTTTCTGTTTTGTATAGAGTTTTAGGGTTTATTTACAGCACAACCTAATTTTTGATGCAAGAATCACTTAAAAATTGATTATTCCCATCCAAAGTTTTAGCAACCAGATGAATCAAATAGGATTGGTCTCGGAGAAGCAATGAAGAAGAATAAGAGTAATGGGACTGAGGGTTTGAGAAGAACTGAAAGAATCAGAGATTTTTTTCAGCTAGGTGGTTATTACATACTAATATTTCTGAGACACAGCCATTTAAGAACTTACAGGGTGTGGAACTGACAGCTTCTAAGTGGATGGCAGGATTAGAGGATGCCCCCATGCATTGAGAGGTGTTAATCTGTTGAATGGGAGAGAATTTATTCCTGCTGACTTTTTTTGTCTGAAATAGGCAAAATCTTGTAGAAAGTGAGTGGGGAGTGGTAGGTATAGAAAGGGTAATTGAGAAGAGTGATAAAGGTTTGGAATCACTACTGTGGGGGACCAAAAGGCAGGACAGATCAGGGTTTGTAGAAGTTTATTCCAATCATGTTAAGAGCCCACCTCAAGTTGGAGACCATGAATTTTTTTATTTATTACAGTAAAAGCCATATTGCCATTAATCCCTCTCAAAATACTCCCCCTCACTTGGAACATGTTTATCCCATTGCCTTACCACTTTCTGAAACAGTTCTGGAAGCCCTCTTTTATGAGTGTCTTTAGTTGAGCTGTCATGGCTGCCTCGATGTCCTGAATCAATTCAAAATGTTTACCTTTCATGGTCATTTTGATTTTGGGGAAGAGCCAGAAGTCACGTGGTTCCAGATCCGGTGAATAAGGTGGATGAGGACACAGCGTAATTTTTGTTGTTGCTGTTGTGTTTTTTTTAAAGATTTTATTGGGGAATTGGGGGAGGGGAGCAGCATTGGGGAATCGGGGGAGGGGAACAGACAAATTGCTGTCCTTTTGTTCTTCAGTCTAGTTTGGATGACGTTGCTTCACTGGCCCATGTTAGTATTATCATTGTGCTCTTCCTGGGTGAGGCAGTTGTTCACCGGCCATTGGACGGTGGCTTACAGCAGCTCACGC